TACCGTCCGTATTGGACAATTACAAAGGCACGCTCGCTGGCCTGAAAAGAGTTGATGATGTCATGCTGGGCATGACAAGACAAGCAAAGGAGAAGGAAGGTGATCGAAGAAGTGGGGAACCTGCCAGGTCTTTCCAGAAAAGGGAGTGTGAAGAGATGTTATCATTCTGTATTATTGCTTAGCAATCACAGAAACGGGTAGGAAATGAAACGCAGACCAGAGTGCAGAGTTCATTGACTGTATCATGCTTTTCTCTTTGCTGGAATAACAGACCTTCCTTGCAGAAATAGGAACTCTTCCAACCCAAGTGAGCTAGAGCCATCTCAAAAATAAAAACTAGATCAAGCAATAATGTACTTTAGCATCAAGCTGTCTTAGACTTTATGGCAATGGGCAAGGGTGCAGGCTGGAAATTCTGATTAAACTGCAAATGTGCTATTTTTTTGCCATCAGAAGAGAGTTGTTACATTTCAGTTCTAAATGGCAGCTTTTTAACGCTAGAGCCATCTGCAGAATGCCCCAAGTGTATGAATACAGAAAGGCTTTCTGAAAACCACAGACATTATGGATTAAATAGAAGTAGGATGCTAAAAGAAGATGCCAATCCAAGAGTATCTGGCTCTGCTGGCAGCACAGCAAGGCATGGCCACTTCTGCAGCCAAAAGGACACAAGGGAGAGATTATCAAGCAGCGTATTTAGTTGTCTTTGATATCTGTCACCCAGTGCTAAGATAACCATTTACATCTGTCAGCAGGCATGGCCTGAAATGAATACCTGAGAAGAGCTGGGAGAATAGCTGGGAGGGCTGACGGAAAGCCCAGGTTTGTAATCAGTTGATTCAGTTCCACTGGGAGGATCTTGTCAGGAGTTTTCCTTATTCACCAACATATATTTGCATCAATGAAAAAGGCTTAAATTCTGCATACAGCTCCACAGAACCCTATTATCACAAACAAGAGAGAAGTCCAAGCTCAGCACAAGTAATCACGGTGTTACATTACAGTGCTCTGAAGAAGGAAAATATCACATAACTATTGGGAAATTTATTTTCTATTATTACTCTTCGCTATACACAGTTTCTATCTGTGAAACATGAACAAATTATCACATCCAAGAGATGGACAAACACTGCTTTTGGAGAGCATTTTTCAAATTTTCTGCAAGATGCAAGCACAACAAGAAAAGCCTTATTAGGATTCAGCAAGGAGTTATAGAAGCAAGTCCACAGCGAATAATGGTGAAATTTTAAGGGACAACAAAACAAAAAAGGAAAACCAAGAACATTCTTGAAAGGTATTTCAACGGCTGAGACACAGAGAGAAATATGTAGGATGTGCCAGTGTCAAACTTAATGTATAATAGCAAGAATACTTACGGTGAATAATACTTAAAATGAGTATCATGTTTCCGATCTTTAAAGCTCCATGTTCGCATCAGACAGTTGTTTTTACAATGCCCTTGAGAAGGAGGATTACTGTTATTATTGTTTCCATTCTACAAAGCACGGAACTGAGACTCGGAGAAGCTGAATGATTTGCCTAGAGTGATTTGCAAAGCTGAGATCAGAACCCTAGAGCGTCTGGTGTCACCAGCGAGATGGAGATCAGTTTCAGTACAGCCAATAACATACAGAAAAAAAGTGGAATGACAATTACATCAATAGCCAGATAAGCAAATACTTTGTATTGCTTATAGCAATAGCAAACACCAGAATTTTCCATAGGTGAAACACTGAAATTTAGCCGACGATGAGCAGACATGAGCTAGGCTGCTTGTAGTTCTCACTGCTGTATCAGGGCCTCCTGATCAGGCTCTCCAAGCCAGAGGCCAGCCCTGCGCAGGCTGGAGGGACACACACAAGCCCAAGCTGGCATGCTTCGGGTGCCAGACCGTGCCTGGCTCTCAGCTTCTCTACCCTGGCACTCCCTGGCGGTTGCTTCAAGCCCAAACCTGAGCTCGGGCGGGCAGTCACGCAGGGTGATGGACAGCAGCTCGGACTCCGGCAGGGACTCAGGGTTTGGTGTCGTGCCTGAGTCACCGAGTCTCCAGGGAAGTTCTCTGGGACGTGAAAAGAGCTAATGACTCTGGGAATATTTGTAATAACGTGAAATGCTGGATCTCCTTCTTGGGGGCACGTTATACTTTCTGTACTTTATATGCATTAAGAAACAGTCTTAAGCCTTAAAATGTCCTGAGACTACCAAAGGACTTCCCTCCGGGGAAATCTAATCTTTCTCACTTTCATTGCGCTTTTGAACCTGATAATTTTGTGCAGTAGAAGATCCCTTGGGAATAACTCCACAGTGCCCATCCTCTACCACCATCCTGCTATCCCCTATAAAGCACAGTACAAGACGCAAATGTAAAGCTGAAGTATAATTCCTTTCTTTCTATTTTTTATGAAGCTCATTAAATGGGAACAGCACCTTTGCCTAGGGGAGGCTTTTCTGCTCATTTGTTACTTGAAGTAATAATTTCTCCTTGTCATGCCTGCTGTTTCTGAAATGCCTGCTGGGAAATCCTCGTAAGCCATCATTTCTCTCCTCCTCTTACTCCCTCGGGGCACAACGTTGCCTGCGAGGGGCTCCCAAGTCAACCGAGGACGGATCATCAGAGGCATTGCCCGTGGCTGGCTACAAGGCTGTGGTGAGCAAATTTCCGTCTGCAGACTCCAGTCTGGAAGTCAATGAAAGTTAATTCTGGAAAAAGCCTTCCATTATTCATGTAGATACCATCATTAACAGATCTCCTCATAAAAAAATGAAAATCTCTTTTAATAAAACGAGGACTGTAACTGCTGGCAGGTCTGGAGGTATGCTGTGGTGTAAAAGCAAGGGCTGGTTTTAATAAAAATTTCACATTTTGGAAAGGAAAAAAGCTACCATGAAGAACAAACAAATCCAGTAAAATCAAGAGTGAAATTATTATTCTCCTTTTTCAAAAGTTGTAGAAATTCTAATCACCTTTGGCTACAGAGACCTATGGCAAGGTCTGAAGTTCAAAAAGTAAGAAAGAAACGTGGACATCTCTGCTTAGTTTTCAATAATTGAAAAAAACCCCACTCATTAACATTTTAATTTTTCTCATTGAAAAATGAAGGACTATGTATTTCCAATTAAATGAAATTAAATGTTAGCTCAGCCTTATTTTTACAGTTCTTCTAAGGGAAAAAGACAGATTCTGACCAGTCCTGCTCCAGCAGCGAGAGCAGCTGCAGGGCTGCTGCTGGGCTCCATGGCAGAGGTGCCTGATCCTGACCATGCCACAGCCTCCACTCAGGATCTCACCACCGATGAGGCATGCCATGGCACCATGGCACAGGCTTCACTCGCTAATTATGCGTGTAACAAAGGATGGACATACACAGAATCCACACCACATTTAAGGTGTTCTGGATTTGCAGTGTCAAGATAAAATCCAGACTAATGAACTTACCCAAATGGCATAAGCAATATTTCTGAAAGAGGCTGCACCTGACGCATCCTTTATGTGATGTGTCCAGGTGACCTGGATGCCAAAACCAATGCTGAACAACACATGGGTGAAAGTCAGCCAATATTAGCATGGCTGTATTAATATTATTAATAAAATGAAAGATTCAGATGACAAAACATTTTAATTATTTCCCTTCTTCCTCAATGCAGCATTCCAAGACTAAAAAATAGGTTTAATATCTTTTTTTAAATGAGCTTTTCTAGTGTCTTTTCTAAATTTAACACATTTCCCCTAGATTATATTTGGAGAATTTCCATGGTGTTGGTTGGAACTGGGTTAGACCTATACAGGATCAGGCTGCTTCTGAAATTCTCCGTGTTACTGTTTTAGAAATCTTACGAAACATCTTATGTAGCTGCCCTCTCTTGGCAGTGAATATTCATAGTTAACTGCAACATTTGGTACTCAGGAAATATCCTTTTCTCTTTCATTTTGGAGAAATCTTTGAATATTTTGTCTACCCTCGAAAGCAGCAAAACAAATACCATGGGATCTCCCTTCTGAAAGGGGATGTTTTGATGCATGCAGAAGAAAGAGAAGTAACAAATAATCACTGGTACATTCAAGTGCAATATTTTTCTTTGCACTCCAAGAGAAGAGCATTTCGAGGTCTAATGACCCAGACCCCTCAGTTCTCACTCAGCTGACGGCCACGCAGAATGGGACGGACCCTCGCTGCGGTGCACTTGCAGGGAGGCAGTGTGGTCCAGGGTGGTCTCCTGGCTCCGGTCCCAGGGACCGCAGGGCAGCTGAATGAGGGGGCACCCTCGCTTCTGGTCACAAAGGGGTCGAACAGGCTCCATCAGATAGGACGGCTTTCCCACAGCTTTCACTTTCCGGGTAGACTCGCCCACGTCAGGGATGGATAATTGCTATGGTGTTTCATTCCCCAGGCACTCTCGGGTATCGTCGTTTTTTGTGTCACTGTTGTCTAGCTGTCATCACAAGTCAGACCTGATGATTCAGGAAGTAACATTTTTGATGTAGTTTTGAAACACGCTTCTGTTAACCAAAGCATCTTTCTGTTGTGGGATTTCTGGAGACAAACGCCTTTAAAAAAAAAAAAAGAGTACTAGCCAGGTCATAAGGAGGAAGAATAAACAGCCCTTCTCCGGTGGCAACATCCACAAGGAATGGTATAAATACAGGACTGTGGGGACAGAGGGATCACAATCGGATCCCGCAGCAATCTGTGCAGCTTGCCTTGGGCTCCAAGTTGGATCCTCACGCTCTCACTATGAGCTGTGCCGTCAGGCAGGTCGTTACTACCTGTTCCCAGGGCAGGAGCAGCGCGGGCAGCTCTGCGGCTGGTAGTGGAAGAAAGGTCTCCTCCGCCTCCTCGGGAAGACACGCTGCCTATGACTTAGGTGGTGCGGTTGGCAATTTTTCTGGTGGCAGTTTGAGCGAGGGATTTCTTGGGAAGCAGCTGAGCACTGGCAGTGCTACCGGTGGGAGCTTTGGAGCTACCCAGAGGGCTTGTTCTACCCTTGGATTCAGCGGTGGAGGCATCTGCACTCGAGGCATTGGTGGTGGCTTCACCAGGGCTAGCGCTGGTTGCGGTGATGGGATCTTATTCGCTAACAATGAAAAGGCGACGATGCAGAACCTCAACGACCGCTTGGCCTCCTACCTGGACAAGGTGCGACTCCTGGAGGGAGACAATGCTGACCTTGAGTGCAAGATCCGGGAGTGGTATGCCAAGGTAGGGCCCAGCTGCGAACCACGGGACTACAGCTGTTTTCATAAGGAAATCGAAGACCTTCAAAACCAGGTAAATCATTGTTTTTCAAGAAAATTCTAATATTTCTTCGGGCTTTGCTTTCACATGTGGATGGACCAATGTCAAATGGCAGAGACAATAGCTATGTCTCTGGAGGTGCCCATGAAGCAATAGTTTATATGAAACGGACGGTCTGTGGGAGGAGGACAGTGCATTTACGGAGAACTGGAGTTTCAGCACAGCCTGCTCCACCAAGCTGGCATGCAGGTTTCCCCACTGTAATGCCATCTAACTGATTAATAATCCAAATATATGGAATCATTATAAAATAAGTGGGTTGCATTACCTCAGGTGGATGTTTCCTCCAGGGCCTTCTGTAGCCAGAGGAAGCCACAAGCCCAAATCTCCCTCCTGCATTTTCTCTTCCAGATCCTCTGTGCAGCCATGGAGACTAACAAAATCCTCCTGAATATTGATAACAACAGGATGACTGCTGATGACTTCAGAGTGAAGTGAGTACGGTCCTGTGCTGGACTGAGGGGTTCACACTGCCCATGGAAGGGTAGGTGAGCGATGGTGATGGGGAAATCCTAACACACTGCTTGTCATGCTGCCACATTAGAACGCAGATCTCTGTGAAAGGCATGGATACCATTGACAGTGTTCATAGCATTGCATGCCTGAAGCGAGAGAAGAACTTGGTCCCAAGTTTTTTCCTCACAAACTCAACTCAAGGGTTTGCCATGGTTTACTGACATGCTGACCTTTCTTTGTTGCCTTGGTTTAAGGTACGAGACTGAATGTGGTCTCCGGCAAAATGTGGATGCAGACATTTGCAACTTACGCCCCGTCCTGGATCAGCTGGCCAGCTGCAAGACCGACCTGCAGCTACAGTGTGAGGCTTTAACTGAAGAGATGTGTTGTCTCAAGACAAACCATGAGGAGGTTAGATTGCCCCTTACTCTTAGAGAAATAAGAGGAAAGAAGGAAAGTCCCCCTGAGTGTGAATATTACTGATATGGTGCACGTATTCTCTGCAGGAAATGAACTGCCTGAGGAAACAAGCGACTGGAGATGTGAGCGTGGAGGTCAATGCCTGTCCTGGCCCAGACCTGAGGAAGATTCTGGAGGATCTGAGGTGCCAGTATGAAACGCTGATGGAGCGCAACCGCAAAGAGACTGAGCAGTGGTATGCCTGCAAGGTACTATATACATGCAGAGCTGTACCCTACTCTGCCTGTTGGGGGAAAAAGGGAAAAATGAGAGATTAAGAACACTTACTGGAGATGTCTTAATATCAGCAATTCTGTCATGGATGTGCTCAGCATCTAGTTGTACTGCCCACTTTCAGTGCTCTTCTGTTCATGGCAGAGGGGCCACGCATGGTGTTACAGGAATAAATGGGGGGGCTTTAGATTTGGAAATACTCAGGTGCACTGCAGGGGGTGCACAAGTAGTGTGGAGAAGTCCCTGCCACAACGAGATGCTGTGGCGAGGTGAGGAAAGGGCTGCTCTTTTCTAACTTTGCAGGTGGAGGAGGTGAATCTGGAGGTCATCACAAACAGCCAGGAGATAGAGTCAAGCAACAAACAGGTCACTGAGATGAGACGCCAGCTGCAGGCCTTGGAAATCAATGTACAAGCCCAGCTCACCATGGTAGGTGATGCCACTACGATTCACATCTCAGACTCCCCCGCTCTCTTTAGAAAGCTGCATGACCAGAATTGTACCTGTAACCAGACAGGCTAAGCTTGCAGCATACCCAGGTACCTTTGTGTTGTTTCCATTCTCAGAAAGAAAACCTGGAATCCTCTTTGGCAGAAACCGAATGTCGCTACAACAAATACCTGGCTGAGCTACAGAGCCAGATCTCCTGTGTGGAGCAGCGGCTGGCTGAAATACGAGCAGAAATGGAGTGCCAGAACCAGGAATACAAGACCCTCCTGGACGTCAAATGCCGCTTGGAGCAGGAGATTCAGACCTACCACTGCCTGCTGGAGGGGGGACAGCACGACATCATGTACGCAGACTACAGGCAGACCCGGGCACAGTAAAATCTCTATGCTTTGGCTTACAGGGATATGAAAATTCGTGATACAAATGGTAAAAGCAACACCGTGGTGAGGAACCAGTACTGACCTGTTACCAGACAGAGCCTATTAGCAAACCATGAGGCATTTGAGGATTTGGCTCTGATAAATGTCCAGAGTGCAAGCCAGAGACCATTCCCCGGTCTTGGGCCAGTGAAGGCAGCCGAGAGAGCCCCCAGAGCTGTCCCAGCCACCTGGGCAAGGTGCAGCACTGCAGCTCGTTAAAGGGCGGTTTTCACTGTGAGCTGGCTAAGGTCTTTGATGAACGCTGTCATTTAACTGAGTTTTATTGGCTTTGCCACAGCTAGACAGGATTAGGTACTGGCAGTTAAATTAACTGAAACAATAAATTATCTAAACATTTTCAGTTTCATACAACAATTTTAATTAAAGTTTTGGGAAATTTAATTTGTATGCAAAACAGTTGGCTCTTCCCTGCCTCCCATTGCCTGAGATTTTGAAACAGTGAGGCATGCTGTTAATCTCATAAATGGCTGCATACACACATAACCGGCCTGAGCACCCACCCGCTCCATTAGTTTGGAAAAAGAGGTATTTTAATTGTGGTGCCCTGAGGTGGACTCTCCTGGACTCTCCAGTCCTAAATTAGTTACACGAAAAATCAGTTCCAAAATGCCAGTTGCAATGGATGAAATGACATGTTAGAGCTTGTCTCAGAGCCTCGGTAATCCTGAGTGTGTCAAGATGGAAAAGCAACAGCTCTCAACAGACAGGCAGGATGGAGGATGTGCTAATTGTTGCTCTTAATGACTCTCATGGTTCAAAGGGGAAATGGCCAACAGTGACTGAAGAGACGTAGCGAAAGCCAACCCTACGAGTAGCTCCAGGTCACAGGGCAGATCTCCAGGGCGTGAATGTTACCAGAGCTGTCTCCTTTCCACAGAGGGCCAGTGGGAAGAGGAGTCCCTGCAACATCAGCTGGAAGAAGTGGTGGGCTTAAAGCCAGTCTGTGTCAGCCATGCCTGCCCTAAGCCTGTGCGCTCTGGGTGAGGATGTGCAAGGTGAGGTGTCCTCCAGAAGCCTGTGAATGTGACTGTGAGTTGCTTCTTTAGTCCTGCTGTGTACCTGGGGAAGAGGAGGATGAGAGATCTCCAGGTTTTTCTGGGTGGTGAAGAGAAGGTTTCTGGGAGGTGGAGACAGTTTCTTTTTCCTGGTGAGAGGCAGTGCATGGAGTCAGACATGCAGGATTGCAGTTGTGGCTGTTGGTGGTGGAGCACGGGGATTAATCAAGCTATGGTAGAAAGCAGTGGCAAGGGATGCAGCTATGGGGCATTTCTAAACTTATGCATAGAAAATATGTTTGACACTGGGGGGTTACTGGTAGTAAAAGTGTTTAAATAAGACTTTCAGCACAACACGAAAATGAGGAACTGGCAGCGGGAATCAGTCAGTCACGAGTCTTTCAACAAGCATATAAAATTAAGCAAGCTAGGGAAAAGAGGGAAAAGAAAGGTCAGTACAAGAGCAAGGGGGATGTAAGAGAAAGGCATGGCATGCAGATGAAACCCCTGACAAAGTAATGCTTCTTGCTCTCCCTCGGCAGGTCACTGCAGACAAGAGAGTTTCCCTGCCAGCCCCACTGCACATCCCCCTGAGGAGGTCTCTTGAAGAACAAACCATTTGGAAAAAGCAAGGCAAAAATAACCTGACAGTTCTCAGTTCTGCTTATAGCTCCAGTCGGAAGGGACTTTGCAGAACGGCTGCCTTCCTGCCACCCACGCTGCCTGCTGTCTTCATCCTCTGATACTGCTTTGATCCAACCTCTGGTCTTCACTTGGGCTAATCTGTTTTGCGGTCAGTTGTCTAACAACTACCAAAGCTTGTCTCTAATAAAACTTCGCTACTACTGACACAACCTTGAACCTGAGAAATAATTTCTACAAGTAAATTACCATACAAGTCTTTAAAAAATTGTTACGCAGATATGATATCATATTTATTATATACCTTTGGTTAGAAATCCACCTTTGATCTATATCCACAAAGCAATCATTACAAGGAAAAAAGAAAAATAACCAGTGTTCCCATCTGCCACACGCTCCTGCTGAGTTCAATGGCTGCAGGATGGTGATGGAGGGGCAGCTGCAGGAGGATGGAGGAAAGGGACCAGCTGATGCTGTGGAAAGGGACATTGGCTAATGTCCGGAGGAGGAAGCATAAGCTAAGACATGAAGTAAAAGGTGAGGAGGAAAGAAACATTCAGGGAGGCTGGACAGAGTGCAGGGAAGGAGTTTTGAGGCAGTCTGACTGACAATCTTCTATTGAAAGAGACTTCTGAGCGAAAATCGAGTTTTCATTAAAGTAGGTGTGTGCTAATATAATATAATATAATAAAATATAATACACAACACCTTTGAGTTATTATGAATGTGCAGTAACAGGATAAAATCAAGAACAACAAGTTTTCCCAAATAATACTGAAGTAGTAATTTTGAAAGCAAGGCTCTGCTGGACTTGACACACCCTTCTGGTGGAGGAAAACAATTCCCAGAGAAAATGCTAAATAAAGAACCTCTAAATGGATTTAAAAAAAAGGCAAACAGGAAGAACCAGCTGGCAACATGTGGGAAGATAAAAGGGTGAGACAAATTAATATGTGGGAGAGAATTTTTTTAAAAGTAAGATACAATAAACAGCCAGAAAAAAAAGATGCTGGTATTTTATAACCACAGAGAAAGGAATTACAAACACATTCAGGAACACAACTGCATTTTGCAGCTTGCGCAAGAAAGACTCAAGATCCAGCCTGCCCCTTCTTACTGGTAGCAGTACCTAACAAATGTGTCAGACAGGCGGTGAATGGTGCTTACAATCTTTGCTCCTCATTATGCAGCTCTTTTTCTTTTTCTGTAATGAAATATTGGATGGGGTTTGACGACTAACCTTATACAGAGGTCTAACGTGAAGGCTTCCAACATGAAGACTTCAGGGGATATGATGAGTCTTAATTAGTGTCCATTTCTAAAGAAAGAAACAGCTCAGACGTTTCTGGAATGACAACACGGGACAAGCCAAAGCTTAACCACAGACAGCTATTCTCTTGGCAAAAATCACACAAAGATGGACTTTTTGTAGCCAGTTTTGTTTCTTGCTCTGAGCCTCTGCTCTGCAGAAAGCCTTGTCTGCTCATATGTCACCTCTCGTGCTCTAAGCTTTCAACTCCATGTGGCACATCATGTCTTTACGGAGATGACTGCACCAGCACAGAGGGCCAGGGGCTAAGCAGTCCAGGGACCAGGTCCAGCTGTCCCTTTGGGGGATGGCCTCTCCCCAGTCTCTGTCCAAGTGAGAGACAGTTGTTAGCCCTGCGGGGGGTGTAATTGCTCTAATGAGCTTCTGGACAAGGCTCTGTATTAAATACTTTCTCTACTAAGTTCTCTATCTCTTATTCCTGCAACACTAATTATACTGTGCATTTCAGTATTATTTAACCTGCCTCAGTGATTACACAGCACCTCTAAGGTGACCGCATTAAATGCAGTGCAGAAATAAAAAGATGTCTTCCCTGCCCAAAGAGTTGATAACCTGGACAGTGATGGGAAACGATGACTGTGGAAACAGCATAGGAAGAGATGGGAAAGAGAAGATAAATGAAATGCAGAGGATGCAGTGCATGGGCCAACAGAACAAGAAGTGACCTGGGACATTGGCTGCAGCCTCCTGCAGGCAAACTTCTGTCATATTCCGCATACACAGCCACTCACACTAGCACATAGGTACGGCAGCTTGTAAGAGCGCGTTCTTTTATTTTCTAATGTGCAAATCTTGTAAAGCAAGAATGAATGAGTATCTCAAAGTCAGAGACTTAGGCTGAAGGTATAAGATTTGGAGAAGAATCTAAGGATAAAAAGCACAAGGGTGGGTGCTGCAGAGAGAAGAGGGGGAGTTATATCAGCACTCAGGCTAGTAAGCAGAAGCTATCATCAGCACCACGACCAGTAGATGAAATATACTGTGATTCCACTAGCAGATATGGTCTCTGTCTTACAGAGAGAGCAGACACATGTGAATTACAACACCATCAGAAAAAATCCCTGAGGAGTGAACATGCCAGAGGTTTAAGACATCAGTGAAGAAACAGAAATAAAACAACTAGTTTTGCAAATTGCCAATGCTGGAAATCAGCCATGAGTTAAGGACTGCACCGCACAAGCAATTATACCTGATTATAGGCACTATGCTTTTTTAATAGTAGGCCATATTCTGGTGTGATGTATAAACTATAATTTCTCTATAAAATTCTATTTTATAAAATACGCAGACAGGTACAGTCTCACTCACACCCATAGTAACTATCTGTGGGGTTTGTATTTGTGTTTAGTAGCTTGTGTAACATTTATAAAGAATTATATAGATGAGTAAACTACTACTATAATCAAGCAGGAGATTTCTCAGCTCAGTACACTGAATAATATAATTTAAACTGCCAGTATGAACCACATATTGAAAGTGTATTGAAATTAAGAGACTTTTTAGTAGAAGTATGAAATAAAGATAAAAAGGAGACACTCTGGGGAGGCTCTGGCTGGCCTACACCTTTGGCTGGCTGTCTCCATTGTACCACTGTACGGTATCTGAGTGCAGGAAGCACCTGAATACTCCAGTTCTGCTTGTCAGGTTCTGGTTTGACCCAGGCGGCTCTGCCAGCAGGGACCGCGGGCTAAAGCCTTGTTTTTCCTCCTGACCTGCGCTGCACTCAGCTGTCCATGCAGGAGTGAAATTGCTGCAGTTTCGTTCACCCATCAGTATTCCAATCTATCCTAATACAAATTCTTTTGTACTCTTCTTTGCCATGATAATCAGTAGTGCTTCCAGAGATGCAAATGCTGGGAAGTCTGGCTGCACTGTCATCATCTGTTAAGCGCTGGAAGGAAATTAAAACCCTTCACAAAATGAATCAGGGAAGATTGTGAGCTTCAGTAGGAAGAAATCTGGTTCTGTCCACCTCCATGTTCTGCTGAACTTCTACTTCATCGCTAGCAAATCTTCAGAGGTAGTTTGAAGA